AATTCTGAAGTTTACTCGAATCTTGAGTTGATCTTCCATGAATTTAAAGATCTTAACAGGGTATTTCTGGTTGTCCAAGAGACCTGATACATTAACTCTTCTCATACGTCCAATTCCTAAAACAATGAGGATTTTGACTGCTTTCTTTTCTTGGTTTATTATTTGTTGGTCAATGATGTAGAGTTTCATCCATGGTTTGAATAATTAAAACCCTACAACAAGACCAGGAGCTTACCAATTCATGTTGAGAGTTTTATTCTCCATTGTGGCTTGTATGTTACGTACTCGCTGCATCGCTACTGTATTTACAGAAATCCCAACTAAATTGTCATTGAGCTGGCACTAGCTGAAATACACGGTGCTGCTTTGCAGATATGTTTTCTTTCCTCACCATGCTGGGAGAGAAGCTGTTGCATTTTGATACAGTGCAGTAAAGTCAATACCTATGGAACGCAATCTCATTAACTTCAGTGGGACTTAAAATGGTTGCCATACATGCCAGAAGTAGGAAACAAAACTCTTGTACACTGTGCCTCTTGAATTGGCAGAAAAGACATTAAGAACACACCTAACAATATTATTCACATTCTGGTTGGGGACTGTTACTGAAACAGTCAGGTTGTGCTATTATGCAACTAAGTTCTCAGGTGATCAAAAAGGCAAAAACAGCACATGTAAGATACAATTACAGTCGCAGGTCTAATCCTGTATGCAAACATCCTAGGATATTGATCATCTTTATATGACTGAGGGACAACATTGCCCTCCCCGGGAGTGCCATGAGTAACCAAACAGCCTTTGAAGGTGGAGGTCTCTAAGAAGATTCTGACATTAGTGAGGCATTGTATAAAGTGATCTAAGGTAGATTTTAAATCAGAAACACCATTTCAACCAATGGACAAAATGCCATGAGCAGAAAATGACAAACAGGAAACCACACTGATGGATGTATTCCTTCATAAGTTTAATGTCCAGAGCAGAAGGATTCCTCGTGGCTCAACTAACCAAACAACCAGCATGTTCTGGGCCAATGGCATGCCACACAATATGATGTGATTATGATCATGGGTACACCAATCTTGACAAAAGCATGTCTCCAAGCACGTAAAGCATCTGAAATGTGCAGAAAAAAATTGAACTAATTGTACCCTCTGCTAGAAGATATTACAATGGTAAACTGCAGGTTAAATGAATAACCAAAATAATACTTTTATCATGTTTCTTATCAAACTTAATTTGTGCTGTTTTATGCGCAGAAGCATAGTTACCTCACTGAAAACTACAATGTGATAAACAGGCTTACCCTAGTTATTTACACAGGATTACAACTCTTTAGTGAGCTCAATGAGCTGTCCTCACCTGAAACAAGTAAAACATTGATATTTCTTAATCTTAAATTGATCTTCTTCACTTGGTAAATGATGGCAACATTTTAATCAAATATCCTATGTATTATCGAAGTGCAAGTGCTATCTAGTACCATACGTTAAAAGGGGTCTAAACGTAACGTATTAATCACAGGACAAGACTCTTGTGGCCAGTATGACGCGTTTGGATTCATCATTATCTTCAACAGAATTCTCTATGTCTTGTCATTTTGAGGACCCTGCCTCTTCGCTGTCAGCAGCTTGCTGCATAATGATACTGCAAGTCACACCAGAAGGACTATTAGCTATTGCTTGGGCACCACTGGGATTAATTTGCCTATTATTGCTGTTCCAGTTGTGTCTTCTTTCATTCTACTTTTCCTTAATCCTTCCAATGTGGTAAAGCCTGTGTCCAGTATATGGACTAGCTCAAATCTAGAACTCATTGAGATTTCAACTCCATGATTCTTGGAAAATGTTTCAATTACTCGATGGAGTCTCAGGAAAATAACTATTTTCCCAAAAATTTCTTTCGATGTCGCAGATATCTAATCTAAACAGGCACCCTTATCTGAGAACTGAACACTGGTGTTAATCAGTCCATCTTATCTGAGAATGGAACACTGGTATGATTCAGTCCACTGAACACAATCCAGTAATTTATATGCTGATGCAATCCAGAGATTCCCCACACTGAATCTTGTTAATCTTTTATCCAGTTTGTTGGAAGTCCACAACATGTTCTTCTACAAAATGCCCATCGTTTTTGTTTTGAAATTTATAAAATTCTGACTATGCTTCAAAATACAGACAGATTATCTTTCCTACAGATTTCATTCAAGAAATCTAAAAGGTATAAACTTTCATCAACACCCAATTGACAGGCATCCAGTTTACAAAATACTTGATTTCTGATTTTACTTCTGGTAGAAAGAAGTCCTACTTGTTTTTTCCACTTCCGTGGATCATTCTTCTATTATTCTGCCTGTCCTTTGGTTCAGACTCTAAGAACATCAGAGGGTGATCATATCCTGACAATTTATGTTTGGTTTCTGCTATTTCCAATAATGGCCAATAGGATTTCAGTTCTCTGTCTAAAATAAATTCCTTGGTTTCCAGTCTTTACTTTTAGGTAACCATTCTCTGCTGTCAGTTTAGATTTCAGAAAGCCACGCGGTGAAGGATAGCACTGGAGCCACATTTTGACATACTCGTTACATTTTGCAAACATGCATCTCCCCACCCACAAGCCACAATTTCAGGTTGTTACTTTTTATAGGGCACATGTGAATCCCTAATTAATGCCCATAATCTCCATATGATTGATACACAATTCATTGGTATCCACCACGTGGTGATCTTTGGGTCAGGGTCTCTCAAGTTCTCCATGCTGAGTCACCTCCGAAGTGAGACAAGCAGACTGTCCTGCAGTACATATTCCACTCCTGTCCAAGACCAACCTGCCTCCGGCCACCACTCAATCACTTCTTCATTTTGATCAGAGCTGCCCCATGGAAGGAATTGGTAAATATTCTGATCACCCTGCTATAGGAAGGAGATTATTAAATTGCAGCAGGTTCAGAAAAGATTTACCAGGATGGAGGGTTTGAGTTATAATAGGCTAGATAGGCCGGAACTTCTTTCACTGGAGTGTAGGAAATTTAGAAAGTCATGAGGGTTATAGATAAGGTGAATAGCAAAAGGTCTTTTCCCTAGGGTAGGGGATTTCAAAACTAGTGGCATATTTTTAAGGTGAGAGGGGTAAGATTTAAAAGGGACCTGAGGGGCAACATTTTCATGCAGAGAGTGGTACATTCATGGGATGAACTGCCAGAAGAAGTGGTAGATAAAGGTACAGTTACAACATTTGGATAGGTACGTGAATAGGAAAGATTTAGAGGGGTCTGGGCCAAATGCAGGCAAGTGGGATTAGTTTCAGTTTGGGAAACTTAGTTGGCATGGACGAGCTGGACAGAAGGATCCGTTTCCATGTTTTATGACTCTATATGATATAAAAGCAAAAGGATACATCTCCTGCAATAACCATGACAATTAGTCCTATTTAAAGGTAAGTTAAAGATGGTTGCCACATAACTGCTGTTGACCTTCAGCCACTGTTGCGAAATATGTTCAGCAAAACAGCAGCAATGTTATTAAGCATTTTAAAAACTTCATGGAAGGCCTCCATTGACCTCTAGCGGTCTGCAGACGCCAGTCTGAGAATCACTGATCAAAATGAACACAGCAGTACTGTGGTGAGCAAAATTTACCTTCTTGGCAATATTGTGTCTCAGATGAGACATTAACAGAAGCCCTGGCTGCCAGCTCAGCTACAGCAGCATATTTAATGAGTGAGGGCTTTTAATATTCCTTCCTAAACCAAAGCAGACATTAGAAGAGATAAAAATCTGGTTATTTTTCCTTTGCTGTAAGTGAAGCCTTTGTGTTTACAAATTGTTTGCTACGTTTGCCAGCAAAGCAGTGACTGTACTTGAAAAGTAATCCAATCTTTAGAAAGAATGGTGATGTTCTAATATACATAAAGTCCATTTTTCCTTCAATACCATCTGAAGATACCAATTTATATCAACACAGCTACCATCCATCACCTTAAATAAAAATGTCGAGTCTAGATAATGAATTCTGGCAGGCTATTCAAAATTAAAGGCTACAGAGCCAAGCCAATGACTGCCATCACTTGTTATATGCAATCACCCTCCAGCAAGGGCTACCCAGAGCAAATCAGGAACAGAACCTCATCTTTCCCCTAAACATAGGGGCATAAACATAATGTAGACTTCCCACTGCTACACAATTGAGAGCAGTCATATCTATACAGAAGGGGAAAGCGGGAACTTCCTGGTCTCTATGATCTAACACCAAACAAATGATGTTTTATTCATAAAGCCACCATGGGAAAAACAGCAATATTCAGCTTATTTAAATAATCATACAGCATTTATACAATTTTCTTTCCCTTCCAAATAATCTTCCATTAACCTTATTATTTGATTGAAAAGCATCAATAAATTTAAATATTTAAAACCTGACAACATTAAAATAATTTACAGACATTAATTTTTCAAAATAGTAACTCAAAAGGGCAAGCTTCCTTACATTGTACCCAGGTCACAGGAAGAATATGGTATGGGTTTAAATACCATCACCATCATAATCAGGTATCTCATCCGCCATATAGCCCTCATTTCCTGAAAATGTGAACTTTTGTCCTTAGTGGTTACATTTTAATGAGGAAAATTGTTAGAACTTCAGTTTATGCTCAGCACTTTTGACATAATTTAGAACCTTGCATTAAACACTCAAAAAACAGAAATCAAAGTTCTGTTTCCTTGGAGGATAACAGGAAAATGTGAAAAGGAAACAGAACAGTATTTGTAATCAAAGTGCTGCAAAGAAATTAGTGCATCTTCACAAAGATAATATCTAAAGTACCATTAACATCTGTTCTGCAGACTAAAGAGAATAAAAGCTGTGATATTGAACTAAATGTGTCCACGTTTTCAGTCCAAGAAAATTGCTCTGATAAGCACTTCAATAAAACACTTACTAATTTCAACACAATTTTGCATATTCAACAATATTACCACATACGGTATGAGTGAAATGCCTTACCATGATCCATTGATTCTTCACCCGTAGCAAGATCTTCAATGCGTTTCCCTGCTGTATACGCTATTTGGTGGTCATTATCTGATAAATTCTTTTCTTTGAAGAGATTGAGAGAGCTGGCTCTTCCTGCATTGGCCACCTTTATGGATTTTTCTTCAACTCTCACTGATAATTCAGTTTCTTTTTCCAGTTCAAGCCCTGATTTCAAACCAAATGCACTTTTCATCTCTTCAGTCTCAACTGCAACAGCCTTCATCCCATTACTTTTTGCTGGCCAGGGTGAAGTGTACAGTTCAGTAGCAGCAAATTCATCGTGCAGTGTGTGTGCACTTGATTTTTCTTTCTCTGCACTGTCACTTGATGTGTCCTGCGCTCCTGAGACCGGTTTCCCTAGATTATGAAAAGAAATTTTTGTCATTATTTCATTGTTTAGAATGCATTCTACTAACAAAATACATTAAGGAAAGATGACATGAACTTCACTTTTTTGGTCAAAATTATTCAACTAAATTAAAGCTGTGTTGATTTTGATTATCAGAAATTGTTATCATTAACAGAGGCTAAAATGTTATTATCCAGATACATGGCACAGTAATCCAATGATAAATTGTTAAGGCGCACAAACAGTTCTAAATACAAATAGTCTTGAATCAGTTTCACATTAGAGCAGCTCTGCAATGCAAGTCTGGATAGATGTATTGTAAGAGGAGACCTAATGAACTGCAGTGATATTATTGAAGAAACATTTGGGATCACAGTTTCAACCTGTGTCCTAATATTACGATGATACAGATATCCAATCCCAATGAAATATTTCTCAACTAAAAGATTGCTCTCAGCTTCTTTTCCTTGCACTGCTGAGGCAGTTTTTCAGTTTCTTTTTAAATCTTCTGGTGTGAACCTTTCTCAATACTCATTCCCTACATTTTTTCAGTTTTCAACACTAATGGCCTAAACATCTTCAGTTCTTTGTTGGTGGGAGAAAGTTGTTCTCCTTTCTGAACTAAGGTCAAAAGCTAAACCAGTATTTTCTGGTCTGTTGTTAATTCAGCATTGTAAACATTCTATACATCAACACCACTAGAGTCGTGACAGACATTTGAATTAAGTTACATGCCTTCTTAGAAATATTGAATTTAAGTTACTCTTCTCTGACTTTCTGACCCTTAAAACAAAAATTACTTACACAGAGCTGGCCAACGTCTATCTGCCTCTATTTTAAAACCCAAATCCTGAATAATATATTTAATTAAACATTTTCCTTTATATGGTAAAAAGGTGTATATCCTGAAATTTTAGAATGGAAACAAAAATCATAAAATACACACAGACCCCATTAGTATCTGAAAAGACAGCGCAACATTTCAGGCAATAATTACCAACACAGTTCTGTTAAAGTTCTGAAAAGATCTCTCAGCTGAAACATCAACATGAGCAATTAAAGAGATCAGAGACAGCATAAAACTAGAGGAAAGAGTTTACTAGAATGCAAAAATCAACACAGATCCTGCTGAATGGCAAAGATACAAAGACCAGCAAAATGCTACAAAGCAGCTTATAAGAACTACTAAAAGGGATCATGAAAGGAAACTTTCCAGGGGCATCAATATCAACGAGAAAATTTTTTTACAGTTTCATAACAAGAAAGCAGATGGTCAGAAACAATGTCGGCCCACTAAAGATTGAAAGTGGGGATATTGTCAATGACAGCGGGGAAATGACAGACATATTGAATGCTTCAACATTTACAGTAGAAAAGGAGGATAGCTTCCTGGAAGTCTTGAGGAAATTGAGTGGATCAGGACCAGGGACTGAATAAAATTAACAGAGTAAGTACAACATCTGTAATAAAGGAGATTAATGGAATTTAGGAGTGACAAATCCCTGGGACCTGACAGTTTCCACCCAAGCATGCTCGATGAAGTAGGGCAGCACATTGTAGACGCCTTAACTATGATATTTCAAAGTTCCCTAGACACAAGAGTCATCCCTCTGCATTAGAAAACTGCATGTCACTACAATTTTTAAGAAGGGCAAAAGAGGAAAAACCAGACAATTACAGACCAGTTAGTCTAACATCAGATATAGAGAAGTTATTGGAGTCTATAATCAAGGATGCGTAACTGAACACCTTGAAAATTTTCAGTTAATCAGGCACAGCCAACAAGGATTCATGACAGGTAGGTCACGCCCGACAAACCTCTCCGAATATTTTGAAGAAGTTGTGGACAAGGGAATGTCTATGGGTGTTGTTTATATGGGCTTCCAGAAAGCATACGATTATGAATAAGAGACTTCAACTAAGGCTGAAGTCCATGGAATTGAGGGCAAATTATTGATATGGTTGGGAAATTGATTGAATGGCTGGTGACAGAGAGTAGGGATAATAGTAGGTACTCACATTGGCCGGATGTGACCAGTGGTGTCCCAAAGGTTCTGTGTTAGGGGCTCAATTATTCACATTATTTATTCACAATTTGGACAATGGCATAGAAAGTCCAAATTTGCTGATGACACAAAGTTAGGTTGCATTGTGGACAGTGCAAATGATAACATAAAATTATGAAGGGATATTGATAGATTAAGTAAATGGGTAAAACTGTGGCAGATGGAGGTCAATATAAGCAAGTGTGAGGTTATCCATTTTGGACTGAAAAAAGATATTTCAGCTATTTTCTAGATGGTATGAAGTTAAATACAGTGGATATTTGATGAGACTCGAGGGTTCCGGTGCATAGATCTTTAAAATGTCACACGCAGGTGAAGAAAGTAAATCAAAAAGCTAACAGAATGCCAGCCTTTATAGCTAGAGGACTAGAGTACAAGGATACAGAAGTTATGCTACAGTTATACAAAATTTTGGTTAGACCCCACAGAGTACTGTGAGCACACTTGGAAAGATATATTGGCCTTGGAGGGAGTAGAATGTAGGTTTAAAATAATGATAACTGGACTTCAGAGATTATGAGGGCAAATCGTACAAATTAGGCCTGTATTCTCCCGAATTTAGAAGTTTAAGGAGTGATCTGATTGAAGTCTTCAAGCTATCAAAAGGAAAAGACAGAAAAGATAAAGATAAACTATTTCCACCGGTTGGGGGTTCTAAAACTAGGGGCATAGTCTTAGAATTAGAGCTAGATCATTCAGTAGATATGTTAGGAAGCACTTCTACATACAAAGAGTGGTAGAGATTTGGACCTCTCTTACACAAACTTCAATGGGTGCTGGATCAGTTTTTAATTTTAAATCAGAGATAGATAGATTTTTGTGAAGCAAAAGTATTAAGGGATATGGGCCAAAGGTCCACAGATCAGCCATGATCTCATTGAATGGTAGAACAGACTCAAGGGCCTGAATGGCCTGTTCCTATGTTTTTCAGGAGCTAATGGGGTGAATATATATCTATGAATTTTGTTTTACATATTCTGTGTTTTGAGATTTTGATTCAGGACATAAACACTTACTTGTAATTACTTGAATACCCCTGACACCTATGAACATGTCATTATATAAACAATTTCCAGCATTCAATTATGAAACTGTGTTCATCTCACACAATTTAGCAGAAAATAAGGCCATCATTTTTGCAAAAGCATCTGAAATTGAAAGCAACTTTCTACATTGTTATTAGACATTGTAAGGGAAGGAAACCCATAAACAGCTTTTCCCCAATTTTGAGTTAGAAATGCCATGATCCCAGCTGATGATAATCCTGATACAAGATTGCAAAATCATACTGTTGATCTGCAATTGATGATCAGTCATAATCTGGCCAAATGCCAGAACAGGCTCGAGAAGTCAAACAGGCCACTCCTGCATCTATTTCCTGTGGCCCTGGGTTTCTAAAAGGAGCACAAGGTTAGAGAAGAGGAAAGGTTCCTATCCCAGGATCAGGTAGCATACTCAGAGGGAAAAGAAAATAACACGTCCAGACGACGAATGGATAAGCGTGCATGATAACCAAGGTCAAGCATATGATAATGTGGGCAGCAGGTTTGGTGAACTGATTCTGTAAGAAAAATGACAGTGATTGGTTGGCTTTCATTTTAGAGTCACTGAGTTTTTACAGTACAGGAAAAGGGCCTTCAAGCTCATCATATTGGCACTAGACATCCTAATCCCATTTTCCAGCACTTGGCCCATAGCCTTGTATGTTATGGTGTTTCAAACGTTTATCTGAGTGGTGTTGTTGACTTGCTCACCGAGCTGGTAAGTTTGTTCGCAAATGTTTCGTCACCATACTAGATAACATCATCAGTGCGCCTCCGATGAAGCGTCAGTGTTCCGTCCCGCTTGCTACTTATGCGTCTCATGGGGTGGGTGGCATCACTTCCGGATTTGTTTCTTATGGGGTCGGTATATGGGGTCCAACTCTACCTTTTTGTTAATAGAGTTCCAGTTTGAGTGCCAGGCCACCAGGTATTCTCATGTATGTCTTTGTTTGGCTTGTCCTAGGATGCTATGTTGTCCCAGTCAAACTGGTGTCCCTACTTGTCCACGTGTATTGAAATGAGTGACAGTTGGTCATGTCTCTTGGTAACTAGTTGGTGTTTGTGAATCCTGATGGCTCATTTCCTTCTGGTTTGCCCTATCTAATGTTTTTAGCCGTCTTTGCACGGTATCTTGTAAGTAACATTGGTTCTGTTAGTTGTGGTTGTCAGTTCCTTTGTTCTTGTCAGTAGCTGTCATAGTCTCACTGTCGGTTTGTGGGCTACCATGATTCCTAAGGGTTGGAGTAATCTGGTGGTCATTTCAGATATGCCCTTGTGTAGATTATTAATTTACACAACAAATAGCAAGGGACCCAGCACCAAACTCTGTCGACATTACTGAACACAGATTTCCAGTCACAAAAAGACTCTTCAACCATCACCCTCTCCTTCTTACCACTAAGCTATTTTCGGATCCAATTTGCCAAATTGCCTGGATCCCATGGATTCTTAGCTTCTTATCCAGTATGCCTTATGAGACCTTGAAGACCACGTAGACAGCATCAATTACACTACTCTCATCTACACATCTAATCACCTCTTAGAAAAATTCAGTCATATAGGTTAGACATAATCTCCCCCAACAAAGCCATGATGACTATCCTCAAATAATGCTCAGCTCTCCAAATAGAAATTAGTTCTGTCCCTCAAAATGTTTTCCAATACTTTCTGTTGGCCTGTGGTTTCCGAGTTTAAAACTACAACCCTTATTGAATAATGGGACTACATTAGCCATCCTCCAGTCATCTGGTACCCCTCCTGTGGCCACATAGGTTTTGAAAATTAATGTCTTACTCCCTGCAATCTCCTCCCTTGAAATCCACAGCAGCCTGGAATACACTGGGGCCTGGGAATTTATCAACTTTCAGTCTGCTAAAACCGCTAATAACTCCTCATCTT